GCCATCCTGGTTGCTGTACTTTTGGTACGGCAGTACCTCTGTGTACATAGTCCTGACGTGGCTGCCCATGGTCCGGAGCCTGCACAGTGTTGCGCCAGCACTTGTTGCCCACGACTTCGACGGAGATCGTCTTGCTGAGCCGGTAGTAGTCGCCTCTGACGGTCCTGGTGGGACGCTCCATGAGCTCGTGAGGAGGACGATGAAGCGCTCCTCCCTGGCCTAGGGCGCCGTAGCCCAAGCTAAGAGGGTAGACACTTTCCCCCGCCGTACCTCCAAAATCGATCAAGACATAGGTGGGGGGTCAAAGCGAACCATGATGTTGCCCATGCCTTGGAAACCTAGTTGCTTGAAAAATGCGGCAACTGCCGAAAGTGGCAGTTTTTCTTTGCTAGTGGCATTTTTTGGTTTTTTGGGTATGGGTGTTTTAATGCTTTGTTGGGTTTGGGACTGGCTTCTCGGCTTAAACTGCTACTTAAGGGTGTGATCTCAAATACACCCATGCGAAGAAGACGCCTTTTCGCCACCCATCTCTCTCGGCTTCGACCGATCACGCATCAGAGCATATGCTATGTAGCACTTGAACAGCCACTGCAGAATTGATCAGCACATACGAGCCTATAGCGTACAAATGCTGGTCTTTACTATTACCACACCGATCTAGCTGTCCCAGTGCTGCCAGAGCTGAATGGCATACCTCGCCAACACCTGCGTGTGGCACGACCTGCGTGCGACTGCCGTCGACAAGGCCGAAACCTTTCCAACGAAGTCTTCGTCACTCTGGCATGAATATGTGACGGGATTAATTACCCAGCTTGCGTGTGGAGTAACCATGAGCTCACGTCTGACGTAGTCGATGATCTCGGTGAGCGCGTGATATTTTGGAGTAAGCTTGAACCGGGTCTTGCGCTGCTGCAGTGCTTCGTACGCAGCAGTGAAGTAGAGGTTGAGGAATTGGTAACCTGTCGACACAATGACGTTCCCATTCGCACGGCTCACAAAGAGGCCATGCCTGTACAACATGTGCATCAGTTGGTTTGATACCCGCAAGGCGCCGTGGATGGCGATCAGATATGCACTCGGATTTTGCTGCTCGGCAATGCGATTGGCATAAACCGTTTCCAACCAGCGACATACTGCGGCAGTATCTGCACCCTTGAACCAAGCCCTCGGCTGTCCCAATCTTTCGAAATCCCTATATTACGATAGTAATTAATTAAGCAGTTATACACCCTGATGAATCATCGCCATATGAGTCCTTATAACTAATGGTCGACCTCCAGCACAGACACAGTTAAAGCGATCTATACGGTCCAGACCCCATATACTCTCGAACAACATAGCAGTTTTAATAATTAAGCAGAAGTACATATACTGCAAAGCCAGAAAAAACAAATCAAATCAGAACACGTCACCCACAAGGATAGTCGGCATCCTTCGAAAAAGCTAGCAAAGTTCTGGTCAGCCCAGACATGTGTAGTGGCAGGGAGTTGTCCTGACAGTACTTGGCCAAGTCATTGTAGAGCGACTCCAACTGAGCCGGAACGTCACCGAGGCCTGCCCAGCCAAGATCCATCAGGGCCACCTGAATAAGAAACTAATAGGAATGTTACTATTAATAGGGTATATATCCTATATACAAATCGCCCGACACCCATAGACCCCGTAAGCCGAAACCAAAAGTTTGGACAGCTAAAATTTTTAGGGTATAAGGTTTAGGGTAGGGTTTAGGGTTTAACCGGTCAAATGTAGCAATGCCACAATGGCACTGCCAGCCAATTCCGCGAAGATCCCCTTGTGACACGTATGAAAAATGTCGTACCGGTACCACAAAGCGGAGTGTTGTGGCAGGACTGAGAAGGGCGGCACGAAAGTCGGTTTGTGGGGCTGATGCTGCAGGTACGTGGCCCGCCACGTAGCCGTTTCAGTGTAGTCGTGGTACGGGTGTGAGGGTCGTCCAGCATAGCAAAGATGACAAATACCTTGAGCATTCGCAGCAGAAGATTTCCTGCCAAAAAATCGTGCCAGCCTGCCAAAAAATCGTGCCAGCCGTCCTAATTTAGCGAGCAGCGGCCAGTCTCCCTTGGCCGCGACCACACAAACATAGATCGTGATGCGAACATTGCGAACCACTAGGGTGCACCCCTCCTCAAACAAACGCACCAACTCGGCAGCGACGCTTTCCCATGCAGCATACAGCGGCCTGTCATTTTTCTTGTAAGCTTGTTTCAGCATGACAAACAGCAGGAGCCTCGTAGCCCAGGTAGTGAATTTCATGTTCGTGTGCAGCTCACTCGAATCATAATCAGGGTCGGGGTTGCTGCCAAGCACTGGCTGCAGGTTGCAAACCATAATGCTGCTTTTTTTCAGGGTGCGGCCCTCATCGCTATGAATGTAGCAAGGAATCACAAACTTTTCACGGCCGTCATGGTAAGAAAATGTAGGATGCTCTGGGTCTATAGCCTTGTATCTCTTCCAGTACTCTTCCACCAGGCTGAAGTCATCCACGTGGCCGAGCAATAGAGATAGCTTGTTATGCAGACTGAATACTCGAAGGTATGATTCAACCCGAAAACACGGATAACGATCTCCACCCACTTCGATTTCGTCCATAGGCATCGGGCACGAAAGGCCCATATCTTTCAGGATTTTCGAAGTAGTGTTTTCATGCTTTGTTTTGCGCTTCCGATGCAACCGGCGCAATAAGTCCGAGCTCTCCAGATCAGCATCAGGATTAGCATTCGTATGCTCCTGCCAAAAGCCTGCAGCGATGTCACAAACCATCCGGTCAGAAACCTGGGGGGCGCATTGCAAACAATTGTCAAGTATAGCTGCCTACGCCAGACCAACCAATATCGAATCCCAAAGACCCATAAACCGTGAACCCTAAACCCAAATCGAGAAGTGTACCAATCAAAACCCAAAGCCGAAACCCCAAACCCTAACCCGCGCCCTAAGCCTAAACCCAAAACTCGATCCAAACCCTAAACCCAAACCCTAAGACTAAGCCCGATCGATCTATTATTCGTGCTCCGCCACGCCAGCAGCACTTGCCCGTGCCAAGGCATTTGCAGCTGGTCCAGCGTGGACTCGATCTCGATTCTCAGTACCTGCCGCTGCGCCGCTGTGGCGTTGGTTGATCTTTGGGCGGGTTATGACAGCTTAAGCCTTCTGGAAATTCGAAGCTTCGTGGCTATAGAGGTTTTATGTACACAACATATTTATGATCAGGAGATGTATAATAGAGAGACGAGAGAGTGAGCTAGGGAGAGGGAGAGAGGGAGAGAGAGAGAGAGAGAGAGAGAGAGAGAGAGAGAGAGAGAGAGAGGGAGAAACGGGACACAGGTTAAGGACGCAGATGGGTAGCGAAACGGGTAAGCATCGGTCACCTAAAATTTAGGTGACCCAAATAAACACTCAGAGTCGGTCACCTAAAATTTAGGTGACCCAAATAAACACTCAGAGATAGACAGAGAGAGAGAGAGAGAGAGAGAGAGAGCGAGAGAAAAGATCAGAGAGGAGAGAGAAAGAGAGACAGAGATAGAGAAGAACGATCGAGAAAGAGAATGGGGGACGGAGAGGGATAGGTGGGAAGAGAGAGAGAGAGAGAGAGAGAGGGAGAGCAACGTCAATTTGGTGAATCAGATTGAAAAGCACGGTAACCACACATGGATCGTTCAATGTATATACATAAGGCAAAGGCCATTCATGATCTGCAGGCATGTTCATGCAGTCGAGGCAGAAAACCTACAATGATTGCATTTATGAAGTTGAAGCCTTTGGGCTAAGGGGACTTTCTAGTTTAATGCAGATTTGTGTTAGGACCATCCTTGGGAGGCCTTTGGGGTTCTGGGCGGTGTGTCAAAGGAAGAGCTTCGGTTATTGCAAGATCGTAGCCAGACTTCTGAAGCGTAGCTTTTTGGTATGACTCCCGGCTAATCTTCGGGAGTTTGGAGTTTGGGGACTCTATATACTTTCAGCCTAGAGATCGGCCGTCTTAATGCATCGCGATTGCATGGGGACTTCCGGCTTAGCTTCGGTATACATGCGAGCAGATTAAGCTTAATGGTTCAGCTTGTGAACGATGTTCCGCTACTGATCGCAAGACCTCGATAGGGGCTCAGGTTGTGTATGATCATATTTTTACGGGGTAAGGTAATTCGGAGCCTTGGGTCCCTCAGGATTAGGGCTTATTATGGTCACTATATAGCACAGGCCACAGCTTTGCATCTCGATCTGCAGCGGCGCGACTCTAGGCCCTGCGTCCGAGAGAGCCCCGAATTGAACTCGCAGTGCGCAGCCGACCCCTTCCTGGAATCACAAATTGAGCTACGTTCTGTGCTTAAATAGGGTTTAGGGTTTAAGGTAGTATGGGGGGTTCGATTGCGCACACGGAACCCAGACCGACACTTCACGGCCAAACCTTGCACTGCATCGAGTTTAACACAGTGCGAACTGAAGCAGAACTTCATGCCTTCCAGCAAGTGAGCATCATGATCTGCATAAGTTGACGTTTGGAGCTTAGGGGTTCAGAGAGAACTGCAAATCTCATATCCCTAGATCAATAGCTCACTTACGATTGTTTTTGCCCTTAGCCTTGGCCTTTGCTTTGCAAACCGGCTTGGCTTTTGCCTTAGCCTTCGGCTTCGGCACTGGCTTCTCGCCTTCTTCAGATTCCTCCCCCTCAAGATCATCATCATCATCATGCTCATTTCCCGGTGCGACACGCCTTGTGCGCTTGGGATTCGCCTTTGCCTTTGCTTTGCCAGCAGCCTTGCGAAGATAAAGCCTCGGTAGTGCATATGTGCGAATCACGACTCAACACCCACACTCTGTTATGTATGCGCATACAGAAATAATACGACCAGGACCGTCTGACTTTGTTCTCCTCCATGACCATCTTGCTGCACCTTGGTTGGGTGGCATCCGAGGTTCCTCGATCTATTCGCTGGCGGACGATTGCGGCCAGCACATGATGCATCATGGAGGCTGGGCACAGGCGCATGCATAAGTTCCGACAGGGCGCTCGACTTCCACTTCGCTGAACTTGCGCTTCAAGCTAGTGGCTGCCCTAGGATATGAGATTTAAAGCACAATCAAGAACCTTTGCTTGCATTTGCTTGGTGCTGCCTGGTAGCTCCTGATCCTTCTTGACCGTAAAGTTCGCCTTTATATCAGCGATTTCATCGTGAAGTGTCATAAGTTTGTTTGCGTGCTGCTCGAGCTTGGTCGTCCTTGGTTGGTTCGGTGGGTGTTTATTGAGGGAACGGGGTTCGCTCCAGGCATATATATATATATATACATATATGTCGGAGCACTCGCCATTGTCCTTCTGCACGGTATCCTTCACCTGGTCGACCAAGACCATCGCCCGGTTCTGGTTTTTAAGGATCTCCTTGAGGGTGTTGGCCACAGTGGACATGTCCTTCAACATGGGGTCAGATCTCGGGCTAAGGTTTGGGGTGAGATCTTAAAGTTTCGGGCTACGGGGGTTTAGGATTCTGGGGCTGTTGACTTAAGTTTGAAAGAATCCAAAATCTAAGCCCTCTGTTCATGGTTGGTCCCAATGGATTCGGAGTTAAGACTTGGATTTCGAATCTATATAAGAATACGGTGTGTGATGACCACTAGCTCGTCCTCCTCAGCTTCGGTCGCAGCATTCCTAGCATCCTTCTCCTTTCGTTTCCGCAAAGCTTTGCTCTGCTTGGATTTACTGTCGGTTCCCTCCTCCTTGCCCTCCTCTTCCTCGCTGCCTTCCTCCTGATCCTCGTAGTACGCTTCCTCGTCGTCTGGCAGAAACGGCTGTGGGCTCTTGCCTACCAGCGGCGCCGGCAACGGCATTTCAACGTCCCTGACTTCGAAGCGCCTGATGGTGGTCTCTGACATAGTTCTCGTGATCTCACCCGTTGTCTTCGTGTCCACCCAATACTCCTTGACGTCCTTTTCGTATTTGTCGACCCTGCGCAATTGGGAGATGCATGCAGTCGGGTAGTATCACGGTTCCCACATGTGCCCCGCGTAATTTATATAAGTCCCGATCGACCTTGTAAGGGCCTTGCGCCTCTCAGTAGTGGCCGTGCAATAGGCCTTCGCAGCGCGAATTCGCGCCCTGAGTCCCGGCCGACAATTGGAGGGTGGATATGTTCTAGTGTACATTAATTTGAGAGATTCCAAGGCACGGTGTCCACTCCAGCTGTTTGGCCATAGCACGTTCTGAGTACCACCCAGCTTCCACTTTGAGTTTCACATCCCGACGGGTCTCGATGATCAGCTCAGCCTTCTGCACGAAAGCCTCCTATAATGATTGGCACAGGATTCTGACGGCAGATAAATGATACTGGCCACTGCACAAATCACAAATTATATTGGCAGACTTACTTGTGTAAGGGGTCCTTGTCGCCCTGGAGCTCCACCATGATTTGAAGTAGCTCGGTTCTAGCTGTTCCGCCCTTGCTCCACTGCTTCTTTACATCATCTGGCACCAGAACTTTAGGAGCCTTCTTGCCCTTATTCTTCGGGCAGCAAAGCCGGCGAAGGACCGCGTCGAACCTGGCGAGCGCCGCCGACGTGACAATGATCGGCTCCTGCTGGGTGTGGACTCGGGCCTTGACATGAAAGATGATAATATAGATGATGACGGGTGATGATATGGTGATGATGATGGAGATCGGTGTAGATGGTCGGTGACAACGATCAATGGCGGTGATTGTGGGGCGATCATGAAGACGCTAATGGCTTGGCTGCATGACTGCTCGTATAGGAAGGAAAACAGAATCATGCTTTAAAGCCATGCTATAAAGCCACAATAAGTTTTGTGTTCAGAGATGTAGACGTCATGCAGACCCGTGCATTTCTACATGCCGCTCGTGTACCTACATATGTTAATATAACAAGTTTCCGTCCCATATGTCCATGTAAAGGTTCTTAAGGTATACAGCACAAATACAATATGTTTTTCTCTAAAGCTGCCCATCCCTCATGCTTTCTCTAAGGGCTGGCTGTATGAAGGTGTAGAAATACATATAGACCGGCACACGCACAGACTATGTGCACATAGATAAACCCCTAAACCCCTAAACCCTAGACCCTAAACCCCTAAACCCCTAAACCCCTAAACCCCTAAACCCCTAACCCCTAAACCCCTAAACCCTAAACCCCTAAACCCCAAAACCCCTAAACCATGAACCCTAACCCCCTTATAACCCCCTAAACCCCTAAACCCCTAAACCCCTAACCCCTAAACCCCTAAACCCCTAAACCCGCTATGCGTTATATATGCCAGCAGTAGATCGTGCAGTCGCAGAAAGTCTCGTTTAATTCATCTGTTAGCATACCAAATGACTAAGGTAAAGCTACTGCTACTCCTCTGCTCCTCCCAATCCTGCTACACTACCTCGATCTACACTATACATGCAACTACTGGCGCTGCTATTGCGGCTGGGAGGGGTCAACCCCAAACATGGTGTAACCAGAGCCTGCTTACCTGACTTTCGGATTCTCGGGGCGTGGTGGGGAGTGAGCTTTCGGGATCCTTCCTCATTTAAGTCCGGGAATATGGGGTGACATTAATAGTTGGGTTGGAACCTAAATATATTTGGTAGGGATTTTAGCTATATAGGCTACAGTCACACCAAACT